TAAAAACCAACTAGCATATATAATCTTTTTTATTTATTATTTTTAGAGTTAGATTTAAAAACTAAAAAATATAGATAAATAATACATTTATTTTTTTAAAATTTAAAAAATATATTCAAGTTAAAAACTCTTTTTCAACAGAACATATTCAACAGAATATTTAAATTTTTTTTCAATTGAAAACACAAACAAAATATCTAAGCAAATTGAAAACACAAAATCTTATAAATTACTAGGAGTGCTCGTGGTTTGACTGTTCGGTTGCGGCCAAAAAAACCTCAAATCTGCCATCCGTCCAAAACTAGGCGAATTGAAAAATATCAATCCGCAACCGTCCGCTCGTCATCACGCATCCGTCCAAAATGTGACAGATCGGTTCGATTCGGTTGGTTTGGATAGATTGATATATCCGTTGCTCACCCCTAAATTTATTGATAAAATAAATAATTTGTTATGAAATTATAAACTTTAAAAAGTATGATATAATTTCAAAAATTATAAGAAATAATTTACCTTTTAAACAAATTTTAGCAAGTAAATTTATAATTTATCCTTAAAAAATTGATACTAACGGGACTTGAGACTAGAATCTTGTAAGCATTTCATCAGAAATTTTCGAAGAGTAGTGGAAAGCCAGTTTTGAAAAGGCCACATCTCATCGAAAGAGAATTTGACTGGCTGGTGTGTCAAGTTTAGTTTTTATAATTTAAATTGTTTATTTTTTAAAATTTATTAAGTAAAATATTTATACAAAAAATTAAAATAATTAAATATTAGTAATTATATGTTTAAATTAAATTTGTATTACAAAAATAAATAGTTATTTTTGAAGTTATATTTGTCGTCTATTATTTTAAAACAAATATAATTCAAATATATAGGTACAGATATCCAATCAATTTGATTTTGAATAATGCTAGGGGTCCAAATGTTTTATAAATATTTTTACTAAATGCCTCACATGGGTATAGAATCCACATAGAACTCACATGGTGTCACACACCCATATGACACATTTAGTAGAAATATTGATAAAACATTTGAGGTTCTTAGCATTTTTCTTTAATTTTTTATATGAATATTGTTGGCTATACGAATGGCAAAATTATGACACTTTGTAATTTTTGTTATGACATTTATATTTAGAAAAAATTATAGTATTTTGTGATGAGTAATGTTAGGGATCCCAAATATTTTATCAACATTTCTACCAAATGTTTCATATGAGTGTGGGACCTACACCCACACATGGTGTCACACACCCATATGACACATTTAGTAGAAATATTGATAAAACATTTGAGGTTCTTAGCATTTTTCTTTTTTATGTTGTTCTGTACTCAAAACGACGTCGTTTTGGCCATTTTTATGTTGTTCTGTACTCAAAACGACGTCGTTTTGGCCATTTTTATGTTGTTCTGTACTCAAAACGACGTCGTTTTGGCCATTTTTATGTTGTTCTGTACTCAAAACGACGTCGTTTTGGCCATTTTTATGTTGTTCTGTACTCAAAACGACGTCGTTTTGGCCATTTTTATGTTGTTCTGTACTCAAAACGACGTCGTTTTGGCCATTTTTATGTTGTTCTGTACTCAAAACGACGTCGTTTTGGCCATTTTTATGTTGTTCTGTACTCAAAACGACGTCGTTTTGGCCATTTTTATGTTGTTCTGTACTCAAAACGACGTCGTTTTGGCCATTTTTATGTTGTTCTGTACTCAAAACGACGTCGTTTTGGCCATTTTTATGTTGTTCTGTACTCAAAACGACGTCGTTTTGGCCATTTTTATGTTGTTCTGTACTCAAAACGACGTCGTTTTGGCCATTTTTATGTTGTTCTGTACTCAAAACGACGTCGTTTTGGCCATTTTTATGTTGTTCTGTACTCAAAACGACGTCGTTTTGGCCATTTTTATGTTGTTCTGTACTCAAAACGACGTCGTTTTGGCCATTTTTATGTTGTTCTGTACTCAAAACGACGTCGTTTTGGCCATTTTTATGTTGTTCTGTACTCAAAACGACGTCGTTTTGGCCATTTTTATGTTGTTCTGTACTCAAAACGACGTCGTTTTGGCCATTTTTATGTTGTTCTGTACTCAAAACGACGTCGTTTTGGCCATTTTTATGTTGTTCTGTACTCAAAACGACGTCGTTTTGGCCATTTTTATGTTGTTCTGTACTCAAAACGACGTCGTTTTGGCCATTTTTATGTTGTTCTGTACTCAAAACGACGTCGTTTTGGCCATTTTTATGTTGTTCTGTACTCAAAACGACGTCGTTTTGGCCATTTTTATGTTGTTCTGTACTCAAAACGACGTCGTTTTGGCCATTTTTATGTTGTTCTGTACTCAAAACGACGTCGTTTTGGCCATTTTTATGTTGTTCTGTACTCAAAACGACGTCGTTTTGGCCATTTTTATGTTGTTCTGTACTCAAAACGACGTCGTTTTGGCCATTTTTATGTTGTTCTGTACTCAAAACGACGTCGTTTTGGCCATTTTTATGTTGTTCTGTACTCAAAACGACGTCGTTTTGGCCATTTTTATGTTGTTCTGTACTCAAAACGACGTCGTTTTGGCCATTTTTATGTTGTTCTGTACTCAAAACGACGTCGTTTTGGCCATTTTTATGTTGTTCTGTACTCAAAACGACGTCGTTTTGGCCATTTTTATGTTGTTCTGTACTCAAAACGACGTCGTTTTGGCCATTTTTATGTTGTTCTGTACTCAAAACGACGTCGTTTTGGCCATTTTTATGTTGTTCTGTACTCAAAACGACGTCGTTTTGGCCATTTTTATGTTGTTCTGTACTCAAAACGACGTCGTTTTGGCCATTTTTATGTTGTTCTGTACTCAAAACGACGTCGTTTTGGCCATTTTTATGTTGTTCTGTACTCAAAACGACGTCGTTTTGGCCATTTTTATGTTGTTCTGTACTCAAAACGACGTCGTTTTGGCCATTTTTATGTTGTTCTGTACTCAAAACGACGTCGTTTTGGCCATTTTTATGTTGTTCTGTACTCAAAACGACGTCGTTTTGGCCATTTTTATGTTGTTCTGTACTCAAAACGACGTCGTTTTGGCCATTTTTATGTTGTTCTGTACTCAAAACGACGTCGTTTTGGCCATTTTTATGTTGTTCTGTACTCAAAACGACGTCGTTTTGGCCATTTTTATGTTGTTCTGTACTCAAAACGACGTCGTTTTGGCCATTTTTATGTTGTTCTGTACTCAAAACGACGTCGTTTTGGCCATTTTTATGTTGTTCTGTACTCAAAACGACGTCGTTTTGGCCATTTTTATGTTGTTCTGTACTCAAAACGACGTCGTTTTGGCCATTTTTATGTTGTTCTGTACTCAAAACGACGTCGTTTTGGCCATTTTTATGTTGTTCTGTACTCAAAACGACGTCGTTTTGGCCATTTTTATGTTGTTCTGTACTCAAAACGACGTCGTTTTGGCCATTTTTATGTTGTTCTGTACTCAAAACGACGTCGTTTTGGCCATTTTTATGTTGTTCTGTACTCAAAACGACGTCGTTTTGGCCATTTTTATGTTGTTCTGTACTCAAAACGACGTCGTTTTGGCCATTTTTATGTTGTTCTGTACTCAAAACGACGTCGTTTTGGCCATTTTTATGTTGTTCTGTACTCAAAACGACGTCGTTTTGGCCATTTTTATGTTGTTCTGTACTCAAAACGACGTCGTTTTGGCCATTTGAGCCACTTTTGAGCCACAAAATTTGAGTTACGACAAGCCAGCTATTGCAGAATTAGTTCATTAAATAGTAAGAAAGCTAATAAATGAAAATTTTCAAATTGTTTTTTTTGGGTATGAATTTTCAGAATTCTATTCATAGAAATCTACACTTTCAATTTTCCAATATTTAAAATCATAGCAGTAATCTTCGAAACATAGTCCTATTTTGGCATAAAATATCTTAATTTAAAAGAGCGTATAGACTTAGTAATCTATTTTATGATTAATTTTGGTGATCCGAACCGTTCACTTTTTAGGACTCGTTTAATAGAATATTAATGTAAAAAATTAAGATAATTGGATATCGATAGTTATATATTTGAATCAAATTTATATTATAAAAAATAGATGGCTATTCTTAAAATCATATTTGCGGTCTATTTTTTTTAAAACAAATATGATTCAAACGTATAGTTACCTATGTCCAATCATCTTATATGATCTTGATTGTTTGTATAAATATTTTATTCAACGAGTCAAAATAAATGGTTTGAATAATCGAAATCAGTCTCAAAATAGATCTACCAAAGCCCAAATACTCTCTCAAATTGGGATGATAACTTGAGATAAGTTATATCCTTTTCAAAAATCCCGTCTCTTAATAATCTCCTAACTTAAAATTCACGAGGTTACTACTTTATGTGGGAAATGAGTTTCGGATTACTTTTGACAGTATCAGACTCAAATCTAGACTTAGGACTCTATCTGGTCTTTCTTTAGGATGTAGTTTCGAGTTACTTTAGTTTCGAGTTACTTTTGACAGTATCAGACTTAAATCAAGACTCAGGACTCTAATCTAGACAGGTGGTAGCAAAAAAAAAAAAAAAATTCCCATTTAATTTTTAATTTTTAAAAATAAATTTAAAAATTTTTAATTTGTGTTTTTAAATTATTAATAATTTTTAAAGATATCCTAATTATTTAATTTTTAATTTTTAAATCCACTTTTGTTTAAAAAAAAATTATACAAAAATCTTTAAAAATTTCATTGAATACAAGAAAATACAAAAATGTAATAAATTTTCATATTTTTTTATTTAATGAATTTTTTTTAATAAAAAATTTCACAAATATTATCCTTTTTAAACGTATTTAAATTAAGTATATCTAAAAAATTAAAAAAATCACTAAAAATTAAAAAAATATACGAAAAACACAGATTCAATTATTAAAAAAATCACTAAAAATTAAAAAAAAATACGAAAAACACAAAAAAAAAAAAACTCTGAAAAGTGGATTCAATTTCCGAAAGCTCATTATCAATTGATAGAAAATCTCTACAGAAAGAATTCATCACTTTCATTACTCACAAGAATTCATCACTTTCGTTACTCACAAAATGTACTTCCACTCAAAAATATCAGCATCTTACCCTCGCATCCAAACTATTGCAAGACTACAACAATCAAACATCCCTCACTTAATAACCAATTTAAAAAAATCTATTAAAAAAAAAGTATAATAATACAATTTTGTATAAACATCCTTCTGCCAACCCACTTTCACAATTTTTATGGGGTTGCAGATGCAGAATTTCCCCCTAGTTAGAACCAAAATCATAATTACATCTTCACTCGCTCTTAAACTTTCATCATGAAGTTATCCTCAGAAAAACAAGAGCAAGGCCACCATCCCTTCACTCCTCATCAGAATAATATTAGGCCATCCGTACATTACCAAACCAGTAGCCAGCCACCTCCCACCAATATTCATGGAACTTTGGAATGTAGGTCAGTTAATTTGATATTTCTTGATTTCAACTAATTACCTTCCAGATATAAGAGTTACTTCAATTCGTTTTCTACAGCTTCTCAGAATTGAGAACGTGAGTTCCCATATGTCTTCCAAGTCTGCTTCCAATATCGCCTGCTTGTACTGCCATCAAATGGAGAACTGTAATAATCAGAAGGTCCTCTAGAAGCTCTGCTTCCATTGCTCTCCTTTTGAGCATTCCTCAATTCCTCCTGAAGATCATAATGTGAACGCTGCAAATTGAAAATGAAAATTAATATTCAGCAACTCATAAAGAACAGAAACAAATCAACAGATAGTGTCATAACTACATTTTTAGACTCAGCACAATGATCGTGATAATCTTTTGTTACTAGAAACAAATTGCAAATAAACCTCAAAACTCAAGAATGTATTTTGAACCAAGCTAAAGAAAACAAGGCCTTTTAGTCATAGCAGAAATAGTTTTTGTACTGCAGCTAGTCGTTTTTAGATAATGCCTTAGTTGGTCTTTTAATGAGGCAATGCCCCCTACAAGACAAGTATCAGAAAAGAGATCCAAATGCAAAAATTATACCATATTTTTATCCTTCTGATTTGAAAATTTTCTTAGGTATTCCATAGAATTTTCCCGTTAAGAAATCAACATTAGACCGTCCAATCTACACAATCATTGTATTATAACCTAAGAAGCACAGACACTTCTAAAAAGGTGGCATGTTGGTGTCGTGTCCATGTCGGACACCGACACTCATCGGACACTTTCCCGCCATGTGTCCAATACTCATCCAAACGTGTCCTATTTTTTTAAATAGAATTTAGACTTGGACACGCTTTAGACACTTTGAGGACACACGTGTCCATTGCTTAAACACATGTGTCTATTAATTAGACACAAACAAAACTAATTATAAGTTTGAACAAAATAACTTAGAAAATAATGATAAAAGAAAAATAATGTCAATTTATAAAAATTAGAGTTATATTGCACTTATATATTGGCTTAGAATGATATATTCATATATATAACATATAATAAATATATAAAATTTTATCTTATGTGCATGTCACCCATGTGTCGTGTCTTGTATTTTTTGAAAATTACCGTGTCGGCGTGTCTGTTGTATTCGTATTGTGTCAAGTGTCCGTGCTTCTTAGGTTAATAACCATTCTTTCTACCACAAGAATGCTTACCAGGAAACATTTATCCCCAGATCCCATCTATTATTCATGAGTCAAGTGTTTAGCATGGAGGTATTAAAGCATTGAGTAGTCAGATTACCGTTTATTCTTCATGTATGCTATATCTGATTGTGTCTGAGATTCACAAGATTGAAAGGACATGAATGGAGAGGATAATGATCCAATTATTTCAGTCTGAAACGATCTGGTGGACTTGTAGTTTATATAAATTTATGTATTCAAGACAATTTGACAGAATGAAAGACCAAAACATGCAGATACACATGATTATGAAAGAACACAATAAGCAGATCAGTTTAAAAACACAGTATGCTAAATAAACTCTAAGGTTCCGGTCCACATCTCACAGAAAACCTCATCAAGTTAAACATATCTTGCTAATAGCATACCTTGGTCGGATCTGAAAGCACAGCATATGCCTCTCCGATCATTTTAAAAAGTCTGTCAGCATCCTTGTGCACTTCATCAGCTATTTCCTTCCAGAGTTGTCCATCATCTCCACTCTCACTTCTTGCCAGGAATTGACCAGCCTATATTAACATAAACTCATTAAAAAGAATGACAAGGATGACAGAACGATAACAAACAACTGAAGAAATCCAAAGACCTTGTCTGGATGATGTCTCAGTGCTGCTTTCCGATATGCCTTTTTTATTTCGGATGCTGCATCAGACGGTTTAATTCCCCTGTAAACAGGAATGACTTTAGAAGCTTACAATACGGAGTTATTAGGTCACAATCACAATGGTAGCCTCAACGACTTCAATCTCACAAAAGTAACGTGACAACTCCACTTGGATACAACAGGAAGAATCATCAGAGTAAGGGTTGAAAGAGATGGCAACATTCTAGATAAAATATACAGTAGAAAGTTAATTCCAGATTTCTCTAGTATGCTCTAATTGTATGTGCTCATGTTTCTAGAAGAAAAAAGAACTACTTGTCAAATTCACATGCATTAAATATAGTTTGCATATTTTAGCACCATTTTTTGGGGGGGATTAAGTTATATAAGTAAAAGATCGTTAACTAATAGTGCCAAAAGGGGGACAACCACTAATGCATAGTACATGATATATATTGTACAAAAAGAAACTGTCATCATACGCTGATAACTGACTATAGGAATTAGAAAAAAATTAGATTTAGGAACATCCCATGCTGCTGGCCCAGCTAGAATTAAATTTGTACACCTGACACTCAAGCCGAAAAACGAGTTAATTACTAGATTTCTTTTTTATTTCAATAAAAAACTTACAAAGAAATGGTTGATTATGCAAAATGTGCTTATATATTTTGTTTGTAACATCTTTTCAACACCAGACATCATTTGCAATTAACACGCATAAAAATATTATCTGAAAATGAATGAAAAGATAAACTTAAATAATGGGGCAGAATAAGGAACTTTTCAAGCCTGATTCCAAAATGCTAAAATTCATCAAAAAGTGTGTGAAAATCAAATATGAAAAATCTAGATACATCAGTCACAACTTAATGTAAACTACCAAAATAAAAATAAAAATACGAAATTTTATAATGTATCAATATGCAATCAAAATCTATGTAATAAATCAAGTTCCATAACAGAAATCCAAGTCCATGGAAATAAAATATATCATAAGGAAACACAAATGCAGAGGACTTACAGAATGAGGTAATGATCCAAGGAGATTCCCTTTTTAGCCTTTTCTTCCACTGAGGAAAGGCGGCGATGAGCTTGTCTTAATTCTTTAACATTGCCGCCAGCTGATCCGTCTGGTGAGCCACACTGTTGAACCTTTTCTTGTGATTGCTTTTCAAGAAGAGAGATCAGTCTATGAAGGTCACTGGCTGCTTGTTCATAGTCTCTAATTGTTTCATGTAAGGTGGCTCTTCTAGAAACTGCCTGCACGAGAACCGGGCCAATCAGGCACAGAATTACCAATAAAGAGAAGCTTACAAAAGGAAGGGGTTTGGAAAAAAATCCATGTAGAAAAGAGAAATTGATAATGCTCATAACTATATCATGCGGAGAATATAGCAACCTACTCAAATCTCTTGTGACAAAACACCACACATGAATGAGAATAAACAAAAAAAGCCTACACTTGAGGAGTTATTAGCAGCAGGCAAAGGTTCAAAATGCTGAAATGGCTATAAAAGTTTATTAAGTAAAAATCATGCCATTGCCCAGTGCTGAATCCTATAACACAGGCAGCTAGTAGAGGTGGACTTGAATAGGCATAAGAAGAAGAAACGGAAAAGAGAGAAATAAAACAACGACAGAAACAGAAAAGAGAATGAAAACGACGATAGAAACAGAAACAAGAACAGTAAGAACAATAAAAACGAAAATTAAAGAGAATCATTTGATAACCTCTTCCAACAAAACAAAAAATAAGATAACACCCCGCATAGTACACACTTTAAAGGCCAACCTTTGAGTAACTTCCATCAAGAGCTATGGCCAGACTACAGTCGGCAATAGCATCAGCAATTTGGCCCAGAGATTGGTGTGCAGCAGCACGGTTGCAAAAACAAATGGCCGCAAAAGGACGTGATTCGATACTGCTTGATACCACGGCAGTGTAATGCTCCACTGCTTCTGTATGCCTCCCAGACTGAAATGCTTCATTCCCTGCATTCTGCAGTCAAGACATTTGGTAAAAAAATTTATATTCCATGCAGAGAAGGCTTGTATAGAGCCCTCATAGGAGTTTATATTCCCTGCATTCTTCTATAGACAATTGGTAATAAAATTTATGTGAGGCTCTATAGACAATTGGTAATAAATTTATATTCCATGCAGAGAATCGGTAATAAAATTTACGGCTCGTATCTCACTCATAGTTGCACAAAGCGGGGATGAGGGCAGCAGAGCAAGGGCTCTATAGAAGAGTAAGGTTGGAAGAGAGCGGGGAGTGAGGCCCCCCTAGGAGTTTCTTGCTCCTAAGATCTCACTTTTCCACAACCAATTTTATTCTTTCGATATTCTTTTAATGCGTTCCGCCACTGAAACAGCACTACTCTTTGTCGGCTCCTAGCCATGGTTATCAGAATCCCGATCCGGATCTTACGATCCTACGATCTTACGATCCATTTGAGTACAATTGATTCGGATCATGTAAAAAACTCCTTATAGGTCCTAGTAGTGGGATCTTATAGGATCGTGGAATCCCGATCCAAATCCGATCCTATCCGATCCAATTTATAAGCCTTGTTTTGTATTATATGACATATTTTGTTATAAATTTTATGTTTGTTGTCTAAATACCAATTTATGTCGTCAAAATAAATAATAAAAATTAAGTAGTATTGAATCAAATAGACTAAGAAAAACAAACTATGAAACAAACATTCAAATATTGTGGTAATTTAAAAAAATTAAATAGTCAGAAAAACAAACTTAGCTTTAGCGGAGTTTAAGAATGGTAAGATGATTGCAACTTTATCCCAATTTCTGAAGAAATTATTTTTGTGACTCGAATCCGCTCCACCAGGGATGTTAACGACAAACCTTATCATTCGACTAAGCTAATCTTTTGAGTTCTTAATCTATTTTCATTTCCAATTTTGTTAAATATTTTTTCTTCACTTTTTATGCATTATTGTACATTGTAAAGTATTTTGTTATAGATTCTTCTTCTTCACCTTCTTTTTTGATAAAATACAGAACTTTTACCATCGGGTTTTCTATTGCATAATATTATATGTACATTTCACATAGGTCATGTTTGATTCACTTCACTATTAGTGAAGCATTAATAATCCTATTAAATTAGTGTGGTGTTAACTATTCCACCCCTACCCCATTACTAATAATCCTACAAATTTGTTGGATTAATTATCCATTGGATTAATAATCCTAAACCAAAGTGTCAAAACAAACATAGGATAATTGGGCCCACGGATTAATAATCCCAATCCCATGCTTTAATCCCTCTAATCAAACATGCCCATAGAGTATTATATTTTTCACAATATCTTCACTTCTTTTTAATAAAATGTAGGTTCATTTTGTGTATACTTTATAAGAAATATTTATTTAAATTAAATTATTATGTAATTTGTCTTTTTCGGTAGGATCTTACGATTCTCGATCCGATTCTACGATCTGATCCTATAAACACCTCCAACGATCCAACGTAGGATCCTGATTTTAACAACCTTGCTCCTAGCACTCGTCCCTTGTCTGCTCGCCGAGTGAGTCCCTCACATTTTAGATTCCATCATCTAGTTTGTGGGTTTTTAATATCTTTTCTGGTTTGATTTTGTCCTTTTAAGCAAGGTTGTTAAAATTGGGATCCCACATTGGATCGTTAGAGGTGTTTATAGAATCGGATTGAGAATCGTAAGATCCTATTGAAAAAGGCAAATTACGTAATAATTTAATTTAAATAAACATTTCTTAAAAGGTATACACAAAATAAGCCTATATTCTACTAAAAAGAAGTGAAGATACTGTGAAACATATAATACTCATGTAAAATGTAAATATAATATTACATAATAGAAAACTCGATAGTAAAAGTTTTGCATTTCATTAAAAAAGAAGGTGAAGAAGAAGAATTTTATAACATAATACTTACAATATGCATAAAAAGTGAAGAAACAATATGTAACAGAGTCGGATATGAAAATAAATTGAGAAGTTAAAAGAGCGGCTTAACTGAATGATAAGGTTTGTCATTAGAATCCCTTGTGGAGCGGGTTCAAGTCACAAAAATTGTCTCTCCAAAAATTAGGGTAAAGTTGCAATCAATTTACCCTTCTTAGACCCCACTAAAGCTAAGTTTGTTTTCTAGACTACTAAGTTTTCTTAAATTGGTATTATATTTTTTTGGGTGAATAAAATTGGTATTATATTAAATGTTTGTTTCCTAGTTTGTTTATTAAATTCAAACTATTTTTTTTTAATATTAATTTGGAGTACATAAATTGATATTTAGATAACAAATATAAAATTTACAATAAAATAGATTATACAATCCAAAACAAGGCTTACAAATTGGATCGGATAGGATCGGGTTCGGATCGAGATTCCACGGTCCTATAAGATCCCATTACTAGGAGATCCTACCTATAAGGGATTTTTTACACGATCCGGATTGATTGTGCCCAAATGGATCGTAAGATCGTAGGATCGTAAGATCCGGATCGGGATTCTGATAACCATGCTTTTAAGGTATATATATCTAGTAGTAGTAAATGCTATATGCACAAAGTATTATGAATGACATCTAAGATTCTAAATCACATGTTTAGAGGGTGTCATTATCCCACTAAGCAATATAGGATCATGGTTCAAACTCACAGTGACAAAATGAACTAAAAAGAATAGCCACCAGAATACCTTGCGGTGTAAAAGTTCACGAACAGTGACAGCAAATGGAATTGATGACTCCCGAGTGCTGCTTCCATGCCTAAATAATAAATAAACAACATATTCAAACTGAAGACGAGTATGTCCTATTTGAACAGAAGACCAGTAATAGTTGCATATGATGAAAATTATGTATTACCTGTCTTCAGTAGATCTCAATAGCTCTTGCTTTTCTAGCAAATCAAGAGCCTCATCAAGTCTTCCAAGATAAAAGTAGGACTTGGATATCAGAAGCCACCTCCACAGCTTTATAGATGAGTTCTTGTATTCAAGACCATCCACATTCACTAAGTTGTTATCACCAGTTACCATTGCAAAATTCTTTTCAGCAAAAACGAGAGTCTGCTCACAGAGTTGAATCACCTCTTCATACCTTTGAAGCTGTTAAATGCCACACAAAATAAAGCCAATGCTGAGACCAAGATTCAGACATACAAATTAAAGTTTCAACAAATAGGAGTTTATTGATTTCACGGCTTAATGAAATCAACTAATGAAAAAAATGAAAAATGAATCATGTAAGTTGTTATACAGTACAGACCATAAGAAGAGCCTCTCCTTTCATTTCAAGTAATTTCTCTGAGTAAGAACTTATTGACAAGACTTGGGAAATTATTTCCAAAGCACTATTTGCTGCATTGGAAGTTCTCTCTCGTAAAAGTTCGGCACACTGATTCATACATTTGGCCACTTTCTGCCAGTAAGGAAGATCACACAGTTAGGCACAGCATTATCTAAGTACTAAATCCACAGAGAGAAGAAAACATTTGTCCATGTATATATAACTTTCATAAATCACAAGGGAAAAAAAAAATGATTAACCATGGTAAAAAAAATTCAGGATTAACTCAAAATGAATTCTAAACTGCAAAATACAGATTGGAATTTTCCAGATCTCATATCCAAACTCTTTAAAAACTAGTAAGGCAGAAGAACAAAAGGAAAGTTTAGTGTCAAAAGTCTCAATGTAGTATAAAACCAAATCAACATAAGGATTACCTAAAAGTACATAGATATATCATATATTTCTTACTTCTATTCCATGTACAGTGCTAGTGACTGATCCTATATTTCATGATGAGACAAAGCACTTTATATCCAAGAGTATACCAAATTTAATTCTCTTTCAAATAGGGGTCCAGCTACGTGCAATATTTTTGCAATTCTATGCAAGCATAACAACTATATCCCTATTTAATATCTAAAAAATAACTAATTCCTAGAAGAAAGGAAAAAAAAAAAAAAAAAAAAAGGTAGCAATTTCAGTATGAGTACATAGTTTATCTTGGAACCTGAATAGATGAGGCTTTAAAGTATAACAAGTATGTTCCAAATTTCAGGAAAATCTCAATTCACTGAAATGAGAAATAACTTGGGCATCAATGCATCAACCATGTCTGCCCAACTTGGCTTAAATGAGAGTGTTATGTACACAAGGAGCACAGAACCATGGACCGACACCAAAAAAACAGTTTCTAACAGATACTTATGGTGCTGTTTGGAATAGGTCAGAACAGATTTTTTGTGGGTATTACTTGGGTTCAATAAGATGATCCCCAGTTTGGCACACCAAAACCTTGATATGTTATGGTTCTTCGTGCCCCTCATCCCCTCCCCCTCCTTTCTCCAACATGTGCCATAGAAACTTATTTTTGTATCTATTTCTTGTTCTATTTTGTGTTTCACAAGGCCAAAAAAAAAAAAACCTTTAAGCTATGGAATGGTCACTTAAAGGAACAGCACTGAGGGGTTTTTTATCCCCCCCTTCTAGATCAAATTAAATTAATCTATTCTCTTTGATATCAATCTCCTAATCCAACAGATGTTCAATGGATTTTTCTTTCACGGTATCATTTGTATTGACAAAGAAATTAATTGAAAAGATGGTTTCCAAAGATAACATTTTTTTGGTAAACAAAAGAATTTTTCAGGGAGTGAAATTTGTTTTGAAAAAAAACTAAAAATAAAACGCCTTTTTTGTTCCAAATGTTTTAATCTATTTCACTTTTATCAAAACAAAAACAACATACCAAACAAGTTTTTGTTACCATTTTCCAATAGAAATAAAAGCAAAAACAAAAAAAACAGAAAACGAAAACATTACAAATAACCCCTAATAGAGCAACGCCAACAATGTTAAAGATCAAATGCGGTACCTGAGCGTTTTGTAGGCCATTGGCTGCTTCTATTATAATTCTACGGTCCAAACAAACATGACTCCCTGATTCTACGCACTTGCTGAAATATTGGAGTGCATCTTCAACTTCCCCCAGCGCAAGATGACAACTAGAAAACATAATAAAATCAACAACTTATCAAAAACCAATAATAATAACGATAACAAAATACCTAATTTGTATGTCAAGTCTCTCACAATGGCAACAACACTAAAAGAAATCCATGCAACAACTGAATAGAATATCTAAAATGGAGCAACAGTATAGAATATCTAACGTGGACAACTATTGACTTCAATTCAACATGCAAAAATAAATATAAATAAGCAATCAATCAAACATAAATTAGTTAAATAACGGATAAGATGCTTGATATAAAGTATTCATAATCTCCAAATTAAATATGGTCATTTTAGGATATTCTTTAAAAAAAAAAATACAGATAACTCCTTGTCAAACTACAAAAAAATGAAAAAAGTGTAAACCCACAAAAATTTGATTTGTCAGGAAGGCACAATTCTTTTACATATTAAAAATTAAATAAAAAAACTAATGCTTTTAAGAACTCTAGACAGAATTTCAGATTTTCAAGAAACAAGAAAGAAAAGTCGCATCACCAGTTCCCATTTCTCTCGCTGTGACAATGATAGAAATGCAACAAAAGTTCCAGATTTTCATCTCTCATTTCCCTGTATCTAGACAGACAAGATTCCCCTCTTTCCCAAACTATAACCTCCGATGTACCCAAAAAGAAATCTTTTGGGGCACAGAACTTTCCAATCCACCACATTACCAGGGGCTTGAAGCAAAACTGTTTGCATCACCGGTATATTTGTCCCAGGTGGTACTCAAAAACCAACGAAGAGGCATTGAGACGAGTTCCATCACTGAAAACAAGTCTTTTGGACCAGATTACTAAAATATTTCTGCATGGTAGATCTCATCTTCCAACTGCTAAATATGATTCATGTAACGCTTAACACACAGCCACCTCAGCCATAAGTTGACTAGGCTCCATCTACTCTTCCAAGCTTGGGATTTCTCCCAATCCAGGTTTACATTTACCCCAGATGGCAAATCCAAAAACAATCCCCCTTTTAGATGTTTCAGATAGCACTGTACATAGCTTTTATTAATTTCCAGTCAGTTACCATGATATTTTTCAGGATTAAAATGAAGTCTGGGACAATATTTCTGTTAGAATTTACCTACACCTACCACCACCTTTACCTACACCTACCACCACCTACTACCACACCTACTACACCTACCACCAATTTACCCTCACCTACTCCTCACCTACTACCCAAACCCTCTCCTATATAATGAGTCACTCTGATTTGTAATATAAGATATAAGAAATTAATCAATACATCAATCAATAATACATAAATTGTTACAATTTCTGTGTTCAAGAGACCCCGATATTTCTAAACAATATCTTCCTCGTTACCTCCTTCCGCTAGTACTTAGTAGATATGATCATCAAGTGATTTGTCATTACATGCCCCCAAAACAATTAGGCATAAAATTCAGACCTAGTCGATTTTGCACACAAAATATGAGAGAGCATAAAATAAAGTCTTACTTTGCAGCTCTAATTTGGACTTTGTGAAAGGTGGGATCCAATGAAGCAGCCATCATACAGTCCCCTAGGGCTTCCCTCATCCTTCCACGAGACATCCGTGCAGCAGCACGGTTGCTATAACACAGCACAAGTGGCTCAACACAGCATCCTGACTTCTCACTATGAAGGACGCAGTTTATACCCTTTGTGTAAAATTCCTCAGCTTCAGACCTATACCCTTTCTCATAAGCTTGATTTCCCCTGATAAAAATCGTAACTTTCAAACATGAGTAACAACTTGATGCGTTCAAAGTAAAGATACAATCATAGCAGCAGAACCAATTGTGTAACGGCAATTACAGATATAATATTTGAAAACTAATGCAAAAATCTAGAAAACAAACAAAGAAAAAGAAAAAGTAGTTTCAAAAGCTCATGAACTACTATGATGAAAGAAGCACCTAATTCGCCACTTCTCACAGGCTTCCAGAGTTGCAGCAGTGGACCCCTTGTCATGTTCTTCACCTCCTTTAGATTTGTTCTCCCCCTTCCTTTGAGAACTAATTATATCCCCTTCTTTATCCTGTGCCCATATCCGATGTAAATAACCACTATCAAGAGGTGAAGATTGGACAGAGGAAGATACAGTGTCAACTTTTTGACTTGGAGTGGTACAATTTGGACCATGACCAACTTTCATCCTATATTTCTTTAGGTTTTGGCGCTTCGTCACTGAAAAGTTATCTTGTGCAGAGGACACAGAGAAGGTAAAATTTCTCACACTGATATCTTCTACACTTGAGGCAAAACAAAATTGCTTTACACACTCACTTTCTTCCCTCTTCCTGTCTGAATTGACACTATCTTCCGCAACACCACCACCCCTGTTAATGGTTTTCTGTTCAGATTTGAAATTACTGCATTCAGTTTCAGCTTCTTCTAAAGAAGAATGAGCAACAAATCTTTCATAATGATTCTTGGAAACTTCTTCATGTTTCCCTCTACATTTTTTGTCATCTTCACTGGTATTAGGTCCTTCTCTTGCAGCTGCCAAATCTTCATCACTTGCACATGTAGAACTTGTTGCATTCACAGCGGAGGGTGCACAACTGTTACCATGATAGGGAGAAAAATCCATGGGTGAATAGCATGCAGGAGAGTCTGGGTTTTGTTGGGAGCCTTCTTTTGACACACAATTTTGCCTAGATTGCTGCTGAACTGGAATAGCCCGCCTCAACTTTCTCCTCGTCTTCTTCCCTGTCTTGTCCTTGATTGAAATACTCTTTTCACAAAATTCTAACTTTTTATTTAACCCGTTATACAGATTTGCTGTAAATGAAAAAGATGCATCCCTATTCAATGTTCTAAAGTCTGTAGTGGATGCCCCTAATCCAACTGGCGTGCTTGTGAAGCTGAATTTATCCTTATTCTCAAATCTGCCCATAGAAGGTACTTCAAAGCCAAGCCCACTGGATGAAAATAAAGACTGGTTAGAGGTTTTATTCAGGTTGGTATCATCGTTGAGTTGATCTTGAGGTCCATCAGAGATTTTACCTAGACCTGCCTGAAAAGTAAATGGTTTTGGAGTAGAGGTACTGACAGAAGGGCCATTGGAGCTCTTCTCATCGACATTTGCTGGCTGTTTCTCCTCCCAAGAACTTCCAAAAGGACACCCCAGTTTTATTCCATCGAAAACTCCTAGCCCACTTGTGTTTTTATCCTTTTCGGTTGGCATAACATGTCGCTCACCTCCACCAAAAGAGCCAGCAGCATAAATACTACTTGAAAATACAAAGACATTCTCGTCAATGGTTCTAAAGTTGACTCCTTCCGTCTTCTCAACAGCACTGGCATTCCCAGGACCTTTCAAATTTGCATCCTTGACCTGCTCATATGAAGTAGTTCTTGCTTTTCCTGTACAAAAACCAGGGGGGCTTTTGTCACTTCCAAACACAAAGACATGATTAGAACTGCCGTAAGAGTTAATATTAGGATCTTCAGCGTTGTCTGAACATTCAATCTTTCCACAATCATCAACAGTCAATTTCTTCATCTCATCTGAGAGTTTGTGTGATGTGCTTGTCCCAGAAGCACTGGTGCTACTAACACTACTTCCAAATACAAAATTGTCTTTATTATTTACAACAGAACCTACTTCAATATCTACTTTCATCTTTCCAACATCCTCAAAGTCTGATTTCCCAGAACTTTCACTGGATTCTCTCTTTTGGAAATCTGAAATTGATGATGAACTCTTCAAAGAAGCACTAAAATTAAAACGAACATTATCAGACAGCCCCAATTGTGCTCCAAGTTTCATCTTCTGGCTGCCAATTGGTACTGATTTTCCTCCATTTTCATTAGATTCACTTTTCACCGAATCGAAGTTTGATGTCAGTTCACTCCAATTACCACCAAGCACAAAACTTGTATTATCTAATTTCCCAAAATCTAATTTCATCTTCCCGCTTACATCAGAAGCCGATTTCTCAACATTTTCATGAGATTCTTTCTTTTTCAAATTTGAATTTGACATTAAATCTCCACTAAAAACAAAACACTGATCATCTAGCTTCCTGAACTCTGCCTTATTCTCTTCTTTCATCGTCCCCCCTCCCTCGCCAAAAATTTCCACATTTACACTGGGTTCTCTTGCTTCAAAATTTGAACTGGATACTGAAGTGGTAGGTTTGGAGCCAAATTGCACACTGTCAAATTTCCTAAACTCATCGGCATGCATTTGCCCCTCACTTCCATTAGATGCTCTCTGTTCTGAATTTTTATTTGAAACTGAATTACTCTTTTTGGCACCAAACACAAAACCCTCATAATTGAGTTCCCCAAACTCATCAGCACCCAACTGTTGCACATTTCCACTGGATGGTCTCCTTTCCAAGTCCGAATTCGTTAAAGAACTACTCTTATTAGCACCAAACACAAATCCCACATCGGCACCCAATTCTCCCACACCTCCACTAGATTCTTTATGCTCTGAATGTGAATTCGAATCCGAATTACTCTTTTTGGCACCAAACACAAAACCCCCATAATTGAGTTCCCCAAACTCATCAGCACCCAACTGTTGCACATTTCCACTGGATGGTCTCCTTTCCAAGTCCGAATTCGTTAAAGAACTACTCTTATTAGCACCAAACACAAATCCCACATCGGCACCCAATTCTCCCACACCTCCACTAGATTCTTTATGCTCTGAATGTGAATTCGAATCCGAATTACTCTTTTTGGCACCAAACACAAAACCCCCATAATTGAGTTCCCCAAACTCATCAGCACCCAACTGTTGCACATTTCCACTGGATGGTCTCCTTTCCAAGTCCGAATTCGTTAAAGAACTACTCTTATTAGCACCAAACACAAATCCCACATCGGCACCCAATTCTCCCACACCTCCACTAGATTCTTTATGCTCTGAATGTAAATTCGAATCCCAATTACTCTTATTGACACCAAACACAAAACCCACATTATTGAAGCTCCCAAACCCTTCTGCACTTCCAGTACATTGTTCCTTTTCCGAATTCAAATTCGACATCAAACTGTTCTTATGTGAACCAAACACAAAATCCACATCCCCAACCAAAGAATTGAACCCATTTGATGAACTACTAGTAGCATTGTTAACTTGATTAGAATTCTCCAAAACAGACTGAAAAGGTTTCAAACCCGAATTATTTGAAGACTTCCCTTGCTGAGAACCCTTCTGTCTCCTAATCTTCACAAGCCTCGGCTTCGAACGCCCCGAAACTGCAGAAGAATTCGACTTCTCTGAACTCATTCGCGGCACAAAAGGCAAAGAGAAGCCAAGGTTCGAACTTTGATGCTGCTCGGGGAGATTCGAGCCCGAATCGAAAGGGAAGAGTGGGTTAGGGTTAGGGTTTTGCGGAGTGAACGATTGTTGTTGTTTTGGTTGCATTTGGGGTGGGGAAGTGAGGGGAGATTGGACATCCATGACCGCCGGAGACATCACCGGCCAGAGGTCATGAAATTGTCCGGAAAAGTGAGTCGGTGCCCGAGAATTTGGGGGATCAGATTAGGGATTTTTGGTTTGGTGTATAGCTTTTATTTGCTTAGTTTTGAAGTGAGAGAGACAGAGAGAGAGAGAGAGAGAGCGAGAGACAGTGAGATTTATATGAGGAAGCTAGTAGGACCTCCTTCGACACTAGCGTTTAAGTTTTGGGAATTTTTTTTTTTAAAAATACTATCAATTAGTTTTCTCCTAATTTTATTTGAATCCTATAATTAATTTTTTTTAAAAAAAATTCCAATATTTATAATCATATTTTTATTCTAATTTTATCGGTTTTAAATTATTTTCTTTAATTGTAAAAATTTAGAGAAATCTCTAAATAAAAAGCATAATGAGATTAAAAGAGTTATGACATTCGATTCATCAGTTTATATAATTTTATATTTTTTAAAATATATTTGGTAATAAGTCACATGAAAAATACTTGAAGAGATAAATATTAAGCTTTTTTAGGATTCAAAAAACTAGTATGTAAAGTTATTTAAGATTTAGGATTTAAAATTATAAAATTTTAAAAAAAAAAATTGATGTAATAATAAACTTGTTTCCCTTTATATAAAACTTATTTCCGTTATTTACCAAATATATTTAACAAGCTTTTTTGAATTGTTTACCAAATGTAAGATAATAAAAAAACAATAAATCGTCTGCCATAATGTTTATTCAAATTGGTTATACTTTTGTTTAATATAATTTGTAAACTTATATAATATAAAAATAATATTTTAAATAAATTAAAATTGATTATAAAAATATAATTCATACTTTAATGTAAATTTGTAAAAGTAGAATTAAACACACCATTATGAAAATTCAAACCTTTTTTTTTTTTAAACAAGTTATCAAAAATAAAATGTAGTTGTCTACATTAAAATATGATAGTGCTCAAGGGAGGAATAAGTAGAGCATTAATTTCCCTTAAACTTTTATGACTATTTGGTTTTTTTTAAAAGCAAAATAACAAGAAGTGTGATATCCACGATTATTTTTACATTAGAAGATGATTTGAAATCATTTCATCTTGGGAAAAAAATGTGAAATTTCTTATTTTGAAAGTGAGACACCTAAGAGAGAGAAATTTGATCAATCCCAAATCTAGACCTATAGTTTTAGAACTGAGTAATTTCTTAGTGGTTTAGGAAAATAAGAAGGAAACAGATACATATTAGTAAAGGAAAAAAAAAAACCATTTTTTGTTTAATTACCCATTAAAAGAAAATTGCAAAACTTTGTAGCCTGTCTTCTTCTTCCTTAACTGACTGCATGAAACTATTCTGCAAGTTAGTTACATTTCAATAACACTATTATTTCACCCATTCAAAAGTTTCTTTCAACAATTTGCATGCAAGTTATATCAATCCATATGTAGATTACATGAGAACATATCAAACTGTTCCTCCTTTTATTTTTTAGAACATAGGTGACACGGCAAACAGTTTTCTTCTAATTTTCACTTACGCTGTGTTTGGTTGGGGAATTTGGGAAGGGAAATAGAAAGGGAAATGGAAATGAAAGGAAAAGGAGAAAGAATTAATAGAATTCCAAATCCCAATTATGTTTGGTTGTGTTGGTTATAAAATAAAATTGATATCCTAAAAGGTCTCCTATTTCTTTATTTATTTCTCGCCCCCTTTCTTTTCCCATATATTTTTTATTATAACCAAACATAAATAGGATTACATTTCTCATTCCTTTTCCAAATTCCACCCCCAAAAACCCCAACCAAACACAGCATTAAGCAACCTACAAATTAGAACCTGGTTCTATGATTACACTTCCCCTCTTCTCATGACTGACCAAGTCTTCATGTCAAACAAACAAAACAACCTTCACATTCACTTGAAAGCCACAAGCCCAAAAAAAAAAAAAAAAAAAAAAACTGTAAACCTCAAATCTGATATGAGCTTCGTTGGTTCTGATTATGATGGGGCAACGGCAGATGATTTCAACTTTTTTGGTGGTGGGTTTCCTCCCGACAAAACCACATAGGAATAGAAGCATAGCATTGCAGCACTGACACAAATAAAGATCAGAAGACCGTTTTAGCAAGATATAGCTCATGACGGAAAGTAACTAAACTTCGTCAATAGAAGCACTGAGAGGTATTTAAGTACCTAATGGCAGCATAAAAGCCTGTTGGGAACAGTTTCTTTGTCTGCAATCACAATATCATTCTTACAGTTAAATATAAAGAATAAGCTAGCCAATGAGGGAAAATAATGTAGTGGTGATGAGATAAACTACCATAGAGTAGGCCTGAAAGTTCTTCCAAAGAAGTGCCACAGCAATTACTGCAAGATCAGAAATAGAACATCCAAACGAAGAGAAATGACAATCAACATAAATTTATAAAACACTTATCTTGATTGTTTTTACAATGCACATGGAAGTCAAGCACACCGGTTACTAGAACATGTAAATGATGGAAAATCATTGGCCTTGTAACTCTGTATTTTCACTACTAGAAAAAGAGGCATTTGACACGGAACAATTTGCGACGGTTTAAGTGCCGTCATGACATTTATAGTTTTTGCGATGGAAAAAATTAGCCCGTGACAAAAAGTAAGGTTATATGCGACGGTAAGTTAAACGTGGCAAAATTTTTCTGGTTTTAAATTTTTTTTCCTTTTTTGCGACGGAAAACATCAGTTGCCATAAGTAGGTTAGGCGGTCACAAATAGTTTGCGACTGCTGTTTTGCGGTCGCAAAAAGTATTTGTCACCCCCCACATTCGTGATCTTCATTGCCGTTGCCTGAGCCGTCGCAAAAGGTCTTTTGTGACTGTATTTCTATTATTTGCAACGGCTTGTAACGGTCGCCAAAAATACTTTTTTAATAGTGATTCGATCAATTTAATTTTTGATATAAAAAATCTTCTTTATAATGCCTTACAAAATAAACAACTAAGATTGTCGAGATGAGATAAACTGAACTGGATGTTCAGTGGCTTTTATAAAATTATCCCATATTATAAATTTATAATAACCAACGAGGATGATTGGCAGCAATCTAAGAGCATCTCCAACAATCTTTCTTAATTTTTTTTTTCTTAAATTTTAGCTAAAAAGTACAATTTCAATTTTAAGGGGGAAATTATTCAATAATCTCGAAACATCAAGTGGCCATACTCGAAGCTAATCACCAATTACTTAACCCTATGTTGTTTTTCCATCCCCAACATAAATTGTGGGTCCCTATCTCTCTCTACCAATCAAAACCTTATGAAGTACCGCGTGTTCATATTCTGAAAATACTGAATAATCACCCATTTTAAGGACCCAATTTTTCAATTGTCATTGCCAACAATATTCCTTACATTTTCTCTATATATTTCAAGTATGCTTTTTATTAAACATATTTTTCCAAACTCTCTTCTCTCTCCTCCATCATTTGAGAAAAAGATGAGGGATGAAAGAGAAAAATATATATATTTTTTAATTATAGAGAGCGATTCAATATGTGAAATAGCGACGTGAGTAAAGGAAATTATTGAAGACATGAGGATACCTGGCCAAAAGTCCAAGCCTCTCTTTCATCAAGGATATATAAATTTGTTTATATTTTTTATAGACAATTTTAGTAACTATTTTTATATTTCAAATATTAAAATTATATAATTTTTTAGGACAAATTTCACTTTACCCTCTTGTGATTTGAGTCGGATGCGATTTACTCCATGACATTTAGAAATCACTATATAACCCCCTTGTGGTTACTAGTCTGAAGTGCACAATTAACATTTCCGTTCAATATAAAAGACTGTGAAACCCACGCTCCTCTGTGCAGAGTAAGTCAATTTTTAAGACGAAAATACTTTTTTTGTATCTTTAAATTTACCAAAGATGCCATTATTTTTTCCCTCTCCTTATTTCTATTGTTTCTCTTTCTACTCTACAATTAAATAATAGCACTCATATATATATATATATACATAGAAAATACTCCCTCCATCCCAAAATATTAATTTTTTGCAATTTCTCTCCCTTGTGGTTGCATAGAAAACGCAGGAATCTGACAACTTTACTGACTCAATTGAACTAAGCTGATTCAGTTTAGTGGGTTTTTTCTCGGAAACTATGAAGCTTCGATTTCCTTTGTTTTTTTTTAAAAAATTTTTTATATAATAAATTTGTGGAAATGGGTTGGTTCAAAATCTAGTATTTATTTGTGTACTTTGTGATTGATGCTTACATAGTAATTTGGAGTTTGCTATGAGCTGACTGTTCTTTTGGTTAATAGTTTGGAGTTGCAAGATATTGATAGATACAATGTCAATGGGTGATGAGCCACTGTACCCAATAGCTGTTCTGATAGATGAGCTTAAGAATGATGACATTCAACTTCGGTTGAATTCTATTCGGAGGCTGTTAACAATTGCACGTGCTCTTGGGGAGGAGCGGACGCGCAAGGAATTAATTCCATTTCTGAGCGAAAACAACGATGACGATGATGAAGTGCTTCTTGCTATGGCAGAAGAGTTGGGTGTGTTTATTCCTTATGTTGGCGGAGTGGAGCATGCACATGTTTTGCTCCCGCCTTTGGAAACTCTTTGCACTGTTGAGGAAACCTGTGTGAGGGACAAAGCTGTTGAGTCATTGTGTAGAATTGGATCTCAGATGAGGGAGAGTGATTTGGTTGACTGGTTTATTCCACTGGTCAAGGTTAGATTTTGCTATGGTATTTTTTTTTTTTCTCTTTCTGTTACTTTCTACTGCTGTTACAAGTACGTTCATCTAGAAGAACATTTTATGTGTCTGCATGTCTAAGTGTTCTCAAAAAGCTCTGAGCCCACATTGAATTGTTAACGTCATGGTTACCACAACAAAAAATCTACCTGTTACATTGTTGTTCTCTTTATTATTGGCTACTCTACAGCGTGATGCCATGATGGTGTTATTTTGGAAAATGGAAGTGTACATTTTGCTAGCTTGAAATATGCATGTTGCTCCTTTAGGTTTCCTCTGGATTTATTTTAATTATGGGATTGCTCCGTGTTTATAAATGGCTTACAGTATTTCTGATTTATATCCTCGTGATATATTATTCTTCTTACCAAAGAAATATATTCCTTTTCTTATGTAAGTTCCCTTCTATAGAGACTGGCAGCAGGTGAATGGTTTACAGCCCGAGTCTCTGCTTGTGGACTATTTCATATTGCTTACCCTAGTGCCTCAGAGATGTTAAAGACAGAATTACGGTCAATATACAGCCAGTTGTGTCAGGATGACATGCCTATGGTGAGGAGGTCTGCTGCAACAAACTTGGGGAAGTTTGCTGCAACTGTTGAACCTGCTCATCTCAAGACTGACGTCATGTCAATATTTGAGGATCTTACACAGGATGGTAAGTGCTTTTTTATACGCTAGGCCACAACAGTCTTAATTTTCCAACTTATGATCAGGTACATATTGAGGGATGCATGGATTGGTCCAACTGTGATAAACATTTGGCAAGCTTTAGTTAGCAGATTGCCAACCTCTAGCAGCGGAGGTGATTTTTTACCCATGCTTGGAACATTCAAAGCTGGAATATTTATTGGAACCATATGATAAGGGTGGATGTGATGAATTAGGACCACAATAACTGAATATGTAACTGTAGTAGGCAATCTAAATGTGGATGAGATGAAGAATGGGGAAGAGGGATGGATAGTTGTAGGTGTAGATGCCAGCTAGCTCAGATGGTGAATTCTTCACAAAGAAAAACCAGCAAATATCCCAAGATGCACAAAATAGATAAAATCGTACTAATAAGTATTTGGACTCAAGAAATGAAGGTTTATTAGTCTATAGCCGAAGACCTGGGTTGCATTGTTAAAAGACAAACTGAAAATTGAAGCTTAACAGAAAGTAAAAGATTATCAATGGAAAATTGTTGCTTTTGGTAACATGTAAAATCAAGTGGGTAATACCAAAGCTTGTCGAGAAAGCTATTAGCCTCAGAGAAACCGTGAAAGCTGCACGAACCGAAACAACTAAGCAGTTAAGGCTCTGATTATTCACATTTTCATTTTCTCCGCATGTATTGGTTAGACAATGTTGCCAGTGAGCTTCATATAGAATTCTTAATTTGTTTCCTGTAGTGGGTGTGATCTTGTTTTCTTGTTATCGTGCTTTGCATTACAATATGCTAGCCCTGTAGTACTCTCTCTTCCTTTCTTTGATTTGTCAATTTTTATTTGCACAGTAGAGAATAAATCTTTTTCATTCTGCATCTTTCAACCATTAATCACTAATGCCAGCTATTTGGAATTATGATGCAGCTGGTGCATAAAAGCATAGAACTTCATGATTGATCATTCTGGTTTTCTCTGTGACATAAAACAATGGGTCTTAAGATTTTTATATTCAATTTTTTACCCGTCCTGGAGTGTATATTCTCTTGTTACTTCTATCATTTGCTATCTATGTTTGATTTGCACACATCAAGGCATTTTTATTTCTTTATGGTCATTCCATATTCACAAACCCTCGGAGTTTGAATGGCATTGATTAGTTGAAGGATGATGGTTGACTTCTGTATGTGGTCACCTGGGTGACAGTTGGGGAACTTAGTTCCACTGCTTGGGTTAACCTGGGCAATTTGTCGAACATGATGAGAACATGTGTTTTCTTTTTTATGAAAAATTTCCATATTGAGACGCTCCAATTCATTTTGCTTTTTGTTTCCGTAGGCTAAAAAAATGTCGATGACTAGAAAAAGAAAACTGTTGAGGTTCGATCTTCTGCTTGGGAAATTTCAGAGGCAGCGAAAGCATTTCTGAGTAAATTATAACAATAATTATTTTGTTCTAATCCAACTCCTTTTTTTTTTTCTAGTCCAGTTGATGGGCTTTGAAGAACATTAGGGGTTTGAAGAACATTAGAAATTCACTTGGTTGAGTTTATTTTTTAGTTTATTGTTGACAGAATTCACTCGGACTTGAGTTGGTTACTTGTTCAATGTAGTCAGATTTTTGGAAGGAATATCATAAATTGTGACCTGCCAAATTGTCAATCCACTCTTTGAAGATTTCAAAACTTAACTGAATTCATTTATGAAATCTTTGTTTATTTGAGTGGGACTCTTTATTTTTAGTATTCCGATTTTACATTACTAGTGTTTTGATTAAACCAAGCTAGTTTTTAATCTAGCTTGTTCAGAACACCTCTTATTCCAATATTTATTGTTCTTGATTGCACTTGTCAAGTGTGTTTTGGTATGTTAACTATGGTGAAATGTTTTTGCAGCTATTTAATATCAGCGAGGAAGTAGTAATTGATGCTACAAATAAAGGAAATGTAGGACGATTGATCAACTATTCTATAAGTTTCTATTTTAGAAATTAATACAGAATTTTGTTTATTTATTGGCTAACAAGCTTCTAATGACATGAGTGTTTTTTCCTGATAAATTCTTTTTTTATTGGCAACAGGGTTAGCTGCTCCAGCTGTAAGCTTGAAATTAATTATATTGTAAATGATTTTTTTTTTTTGGTTTTTTTTTGCAGGTACAACCCTTTTGAGAACGTGATGATATCTTCGCATATCGATATTAGTTTACAATCTTATTTATTTATTTATTTTTTGAAAAAAAATATCAAATGTTTTATATTTTCTGTAAGCTTGAAAATAATTATGTTGTAAATGATAATTTTTTTTTTCTTTTTTGTTTCTTTTTGCAGATGCAAACCTTTTGAGTACGTGATATCTTCGCATAGTGATATGGGAGCTTACTATTGATATCAAAACAAGCTACATTATATCTGTTTTTATTTTTTTATTTTTTTATTTCTATTGTCGATACTAAAAATTTGAGTTCTTGAATTTCAAAAATTATTAGTATTGTTAGAAGTTATTTTATATATTTTTGTAAATAATATTTGATTGACAATTGTTACAAGGTATATATATATTCTTGGTATATGATTTTTTGAATGTGAATTTGGATGTGGATGTATTTTTAAAAATATTAATAATTTGTATAGGAAATATTTAATAAAATATGATTTTATAAAGAATAATTTTATTGCGACAATAATAAACCGTCGCTAATGTAATTCTCATTTCCTTATATTTTATTAGCGACGGGTTAACCTGTCGCATATGCATATTAGTTCCAATCTTTTGCGACGGCTTCAACTGTCGCAAATAAATCTTTTGCGACGGTTTAAACTGTTGCCAATACGGTATTAACTTAATATTACTTTTTTGGCAACGTTTTAAACCGTCGCTAATAATACTTTTTGCGACGGCAAATATCGTCGCTAAAAAAGGTTTTTTTTGACGACAATCAACATCGTCACTAAAAATGCCATTTTTTCCCCTTTTTTTGTGTCAGGCAAAACCGTCGCAAATACTTTTTGTCACGCCCCTTTCTGCCACCCGCCATTTTCCGTCGCTGCTCCGTCGCAAAAAGTCTTTCGCGACGATATATGGACCTTTTGCGACGTTTGAGACCGTCGCAAAAAGTCCAATTTTTAGTAGTGTTTGGAGCTTACAAGAAGTATGAAAGAGCCAAATTTAGTATCTTTGAGGATAATAATGACATTGTGGGATGTCTCTCTTTCTCTATACATATATCAATCAATAATAATACATACAATTTATTCTCTCTCTTTCTCTATAAATATATCAATCAATAATAATACATACAATTTATTCTCTCTCTTTCTCTATACATATATCAATCAATAATAATACATACAATTTATTCTCTCTCTTTCTCTATACATTATTTCTTACAGTGACACTATTATTTTTTGTGGGACTGAGGCCCAGTATTTGGGTAATCAATGTTGCTTATGTGCTTCAAGGTAGTTTCAAGCTTGAAAGTAAATTTGCGGAAGTCTAGCCTTATTCCAGTTGGAGAGGTTCCTCCTATGGGGGGATTGGCTGTAAAGTTTTTTTTTTTAAGAAAAAATAATAATTTTTGGCTGTAAAGTTGATCATTTACCTTCTTTATACTTGGTCTCCCTCTTGGATCTGAGGCAAACTCAGTTTGGAACTCAGAGGTGGAAAGGTTCCAGATGCGTCTGGCAGGCTGGAAGAGACGGTATTTATCAAAAAGGGGTGAGGTCTACTTTGATTAAGACCACTTCATCCAGTCTTCCTTTGGGTTTGATGTGGATCATTTGGAGAAAGGATAATCATAGTACATTTGATGGATTGGAATATCCCATCTTTAATTTGAAAAACCATTTTTTGTAACGTTCTTGGGTGATGTTAATTTGGTTTTTAACCAATTTTTGAATTTTTTAATCTTTTGAGTAGATTGATGTATAGGTGATATAGGCTGTTGTGTTCCTTTTTGCTTGCCTCATTAATATATACACATTACTTATAAAAAAAAATTATATAATTCATCTAACAAACTTGTCCTGGACTATTAGTTGAGAAGAAAATTTGCAGTGTGGAGTATAAATGAACCACTAAAATCTTCTCACAAGCTAGTCCAATGGCAACCATAAAAAGTGCATCAAAACTACCATTCAGAGGGCTGCATAGTTCATGTTTTTCTTCTAGATAAGAAATAATAAATTTGAAACCAACAAAAGATACAAGAATCTAAGAGCAAAAAAATATAAAAGAAATCGATATCATGATATCTGGAATCACAAGAAGTAGATACCTGCTTGTCCTAGTATGAATGGGAAGCTAGATTTTCCTTGTCTCCAGACCTTTAAGCTTAAGGTGCTGAGGGATAGCAACGCAGCTCCAAAGAGTGCATCAGTGCGTAAAGTAGTAGGATTTCTTGTAAATATAAAACCAATAAGCCCCCCACTTAAAAAAAGCCCACCTATGGAAAGACACGATCAATAAGTGACAACATAAAACCAATTAGTTAGCACAAGAAACCGACACCTATGAACAAACAAGCCAAAAAGTTTGTCCCCATGTTGGATACACTGAACATAAAATTAACATGGATCATCATTACACTTACTTATGATGCAGTTTAACAATTCAAGGCCTCGTTAATAGTCTATATGAACACAGAAAACTGTTTATGATAAAGAACCAGCAATGAAGCTAAGAACACAAAAGCATAAACTTACACCTTCCCTATCTTTAGCTAGCTGTCTACTACCCCTGCAGCAAAGCCAGTCCTAATCTAAATTAGAAGCAGACAGAAAGTCAAATTACCAGCATAAAGTTTATAAATCAATTGAATCCTCAAAATTGCAAAATATGCAATTGTGTATGATAAGATTCCAAAGTTTCCAAAATTACCCCACACACACACACAAAAAAAAAAAGAAAAAAGAAAAAAAAAGGGGTTGTATTAACAGCTTCTAGGTGATATTCCTCATATGTTCCCATTGTAAGGCTCAAACGTAACCTATCTTCAGCTCCTCCATTTCTTTCTATTTCTTTAACCTTTACAACCTACATAATTTCTATATGTTGATAGAGGAAAAAAAAAAGCTAACTGCTCAAGTGGACGGCACAATTGGAAACAGCACCTCTCCATGCAAGCAAGCACGTTCCCACCTCATGCTTGCCACCTTGGCTTACCACCTTGTGCTTGCCACGTCTTCATGCCTACCACCTGGTGGTTATCATTGCAAAAATCTGGCAGAAGCCTATAGTGCAATTGCACAACTTCATCGACACATCAAGCTGACACTAGTTTGCATGTTCTATGACACCTCATGCCTTGCTGGAAGGACTGTGTCATGCAAAATACAAACAAGGCAAAAGCCTCACTGCCACGAGAAATGGATAAGGTATGAGACTTGACAAACCCTATGTTAAAGCTACCATTATCACATATCCTTTTGAGCATAGAAACTATGATTAAATATATGATCTCCTTAAGCACCTTAAGAATTCTCTAGAGTTTGAAAGCACTTTAAGAATTGGTCAAGTATGGAAACACCACAAAAAATGTTGTCCTTAACTCCACAGACTCATCAAGCAGAGGGAATGGGAGAATCACAGACGAGGAATGGGAATCATATTAATAATGAGATTCCCATGTCAGTGTCATTCAATTGTTTGAATTAGTCAAACATATCATACGAGAAATGACAAAAATTTACAATGCTATGGGCCCAGGTCTTGTTTTTACTCTCAAATGTCCAAGGTCACATCATCACTTGACTCATGATATTATGTGCTATGCTATTTATGCATACATACAACAAAGATAGCGGTTCACTTTGGTGCACGATCTCAAAACATCGTAAGATACATAACATTCTACAAATGCTAAACTAGCAAGCATTCCCACCATACAACTTTCACAATAACAACAAGAACATCATAAAACTGAAGTATTATATAAACCAAAAATGATGTGAGTATGGTGAAACTAGGAAAGCGTAAAGAATAGAAGATGCCTTCGATTGTGACGCTAAGTCACTTCTCTATGATGTCTATGTAAGCAATAATAAAGGTTGCAAGTTGCAAATGATTTTTGAATATATGCATTTTACATACATTATGAATTTAATGAGTAAATTGAGAGAATGAAAACATGTTCAACAAATCCTTATCCAATTTCATAAATGAAGGTGTATGAGTTACATTATAACTCATCTAACAAGTAGTTTTCACATCAGCCAGGACACACTAAAAGGCTTTTCTGGGTGAGGAAAAACCAGAAGTTTTAAACCAACATTAAAGCACACTCACCAAATGGAATGCCAAGACAAAAATCATGGATCTTTGCTGCCCTTATCTGTTGGGTGACAGCATGTCCTTGTACTGGCTCATTCATCCCTTTTCCATTGTCATTTTCTGATGTAGTTGCATGGGACCTTGCTGACCCCTCAATATGTGATCTTGAAGCATCTGCAGTATAACTCAGATTGGTCTTAGTCTGTGAACCCGATATCCCTGTGCCACTTCCATCACTGTTCATGACAACCGGTACCTACAAAATAAAGATTTCCAACAGTTGGTACTACTTCCAAAATCTATAAATTAGAACAATAATATGAAGCACTCATTAGTAAAACTTCCACCAAATTTTAGCAAATGAAAATATTCATATTGAGAAATAAATTAAATTTATTTTCCTTTGGGCAAATTAAATTGTTAGTCCCTCTACTTTGGTTCTTGTGTCATTTTGGTCATTGTATTTCAATTTGATCAATTTTGACCCAAAATTTTTATACTTTGTCTCAAATTAGTCCAATTGATTCCAATTTTTAGCATTTTTTTTTATGGCAAATGCACACATAAATAGCAGGTGTCATGCTTTTAGGAGCAAAATTGCAAACTCAATCAATTCGGTGACTTAACCTCAACCAATTCAGTGAAAATTTTCTGTGAAAAATCCTAACCGCATTATCAATTGGACCAAATTGACGTAAAATCTAAAATTAATGGTAAAAATTGAGCAAATTGAAACTATGTTTTAGGACTACCAGTGCAATTTATCCTATTCTTTTCTTGCAGACATAATAATCCTCAGAATAAAAAACTGGAAATTTGAATTTATTTTGTACATCATAATACAAGTATAAAACCCCAAATTGGAGGCGAAAAATGACTGAAGAGTTGAGTAGAGGTTTTACCTCATCAAATCGCATATAACCCAGCAAAAAAAATTCAAAATTTTTAAATTTTCTAGGGAACCAAACGGAATCTGAGAAAGTTTGGGGGGTTTTGAGATCAGTATTCTCACCTTGGAACGAAAAGTGGGGCATGGCCGAGTGTGTAGATGTAGTCTGCGACTGATTGAAGAGAAGGAAGAAAGCTGAGAGATTGCCGAGGACATGATCGGTGATTGCTTGTTGCTGATTCCAAAATCAAAACACCAAAAAACAAAAATGGAAAATCGAGAAAGAGGAAGAAGAAGGCGATTTTGTGATTGTTTGGTATTGTTTGGTTGAAAGTGTTTTTCTTGTTTTTTTTATGGAGTGGTGTTTTGGGGGTGGTTAAAAAGAATTTTTTTTTTTTTTTTTTTTTTTTTTGGTGTTTGGGAATTATTTTTTTTTTTGTGGTTTTTTGTTTAAAAAAATATTTAAAGACAAGATTGGTTAAAAAATTAGAAAATATAAATTCAGACAAAACGTTACATTAAATTCATAATTATTTTATTTTTTTTCTCACAAACATCACATTTAATTATAAAAAAAATTTAACTATCTTTCTAAATATAAAAATTTTAACTTCCTAAAATAATCAAAAACTAAAAAAACTTACTAAAATAATAATTTTCCAAACACCATATTGTGTGAGCTTTTTTTTTTTTGACTTTATTTTATGTTAAAAAATAGACAAATAATGTGATTTAATTTTTTTTTTAAAAAGTTGACTTTTTATCATGTTACCAAACCGCCCTAATAAAGTTATACGCATATGTGTACTCATTATCGTGTTTAATTTTAATTTTTTAAAAAATGGAATTTTTATTTTCTTTTTTTCATATTTTTGAATGAATATTTTTAAAATTTTAATTTTTTTTTATTTTTTTAGATACATATATATTTAAAAAGTAAAATATTTATAAAAAAATATTTTCAAAAATTAATAAATATACAAAAATATGAAAAATATATTGAATTTTCATATTTTTTGCATTTTTGATATTTAGTGAATTTTTTAAATATTTTTTCATAAAAATTATATTTTTTAAGTGTATTTATATTAGTTGTGTCTAAAAATTAAAAAAATTGCTTAAAATATTTTAAAAATTCAGTGAAAATAAAAAAATGCAAAAAATAAAAGAGTAAAATTTTCTAAAAAGTGAATTCTGGAAATTAAAACCAAGCATAATGAATGGTTTTTTGTTTGGAAATTTTTTTAAGGTCTCTAATAATAGTAATTTAGAGAAAAAAGGATACCAAAAAAAAAATGATGTCTCAAGTCCCTCGACTAATAACGCGCACTTTTTAATTACTTCTTTGACCAAAATACCCTTCACAATCAACAGGGAACTTGAACTACATTTCAACGACTGATCAGTTCCAGACTTCACATCCAACCATCTTCATGAACAAGACAAGAGTAGAATTAGGATTTCAATCATTTTCACTATCGACATTAGGGTTTCATCATCTTTTGTGAAAATCTTTTCCATTTCTTTGACCCGTTTTCACTGTTCATCATCATCTCAATTCATCTTCGTCACAGTGTATCTTCATATCAAGGCATATCAGTTCGTAATTAGGGTTTCATACTCACTCTGATAAGTTTTTCTACAATCCAACGAGTTTTTATCTAGAAACACAGTTAATTGCATTTTATATTAGCCTCCCATTAATTAGGGTTTTAATTTCGTAATAAAAACTACGTAAATTTGAAAAATGTTATTTCTCTACATTTTGAACTTAATCTTAAACATTGTTGTGTGATTTTGTCTATAAATTTCTCTAGTTTCAAAATTTTTCTGGCATTTGCTTGATCTATATTTCTTTTTTGAATTTTCTCTGGCATGTCTATTTCCCATTTGTTTCTTTTTATTCCCCCATTGTCCCTGGTATGTTTAATTTCTCTGTATTTCTCTGTGTAATTTTCAAATTCAATTCATTCAAATTTCTCTGCTCTATAAATTTCTCTGGCATTTTAATTTTCTCTAGAATGTGTAATTTTCTCAGGCATTTTTCATTTTCCGTGGTTGCTAAATTTATGTTTCTTTTTTGAATTTTCTCTGGCTATATTTTACATCTATATGTAATTTTACTCTCTTGTCGGTGTCTATGTTTCTCTAGCATTTATAATTTTCTCTGGCCACATCACTTTTCTCCCTTGTGTGTGTCTGTCATGTTTAATTTTCTCTGGTTGTGTCTGTAAATTTCTCTATCATTTTCATATTATGGAATGGAAATTTTCTTTGGCTTGCCATGTTTAGTTTTCTCTGGAATATGTAATTTTCTCTGTCATTTTTATTTTCTGTGCTTGCTAGATTTATGTTTCATTCTTGAATTTTCTCTGACTATATTTTACATCTATATATAATTTTTAGCAATTATTCAAAATTTCTCTGCCATGTTTATGTTATTTTGTTTATTTTCTCTGGGAATGGAAATGAACTGTGGTTGCATGTATTCCACATTACTTTTCTTTCTTGTGTTTGCCTGCCATGTTTTTAATTTTTAGTGTCTAATTTTCTCTGGCATTTATAATTTTCTCTGGCCACCTTAGTTTTCTCTCTTATGTGTAATTTTCTCTGGGAATGGAAATGAACTGTGGCTGCATGTATTCCACATTGCTTTCCTCCCTTGTGTCTGTCTACTGTCTAATTTTCTCTTACATTTATAATTTTCTCTGGTCACCTTAGTTTTCTCCTTTATGTGTAATTTTCTTTGGGAATGGAAATGAACTGTAGCTGCATGTATTCCACATTACTTTTCTCCCTTGCGTCTGTCTGCCATGTTTTTAATTTTTAATGTCTAATTTCCTCTGACCACCTTAGTTTTCTCCCTTATGTGTAATTTTCTCTGACATGTTTTATTTTCTCTAGCATGTTCAATTTTCTCTAGAATTTAATGTTGACATCTTTATGTTTTCATTATCTAGAAATGGCGAAACGTAAAACCAGCAAAACACCAGAAACACTAAGAAAGAAATAGAAACTCTCTGAGTCTTATGATCTTAGATCAAAAAGAAATAAAGCACCACAAACTTCTCACCAAAAAACACAAGTCCAAGGTGATGAAGCAACAAGCATCAAAATGAAAACATATGTGCCATTGACTAAAACACTTTAAAAGACTCAAGCTCAATGGGAAAAAACCTGTTAAACTCCAAAGAAAAAGAACTCATTATAGCATTCAATATCGATCCAACCTCTCATCTATTGTCTCATTTTTTGAAACACTTAAATTCAATTCAAACCACCTTGAAGAGCTTCAAAAGACTTCATTCTGGTATTTGATCCAAGCTCTAACCACTGGAAAGATGGATCCAAGGAAGTCTAGGAAATCTGATGATGATGTAGTTGCAATAATCCAACATTACAATGAAAAAACGAAAGCATTCACAGTTGGTAAAAAGAATTTGACCTTTACAACCAATGACATAACCTTGATTTTTGGTTTGCAAGGTGGTAAAGGAGCCATGTCATTAAGATACTCAAAAAAGCCAAACGCTGCATTCCTAAGGCGAAGATTCTCGAAGGACACAAGACTCACTGGTCTTGTTCTTAAGAATGCCTTCGTCAAAGCAATGAAAGGCAAGCAACCAGCTGACTTCAAAGATGTAACAATCATTGTTACATGTACTTGTGTCTCACCCTATTTTTTACAACAAGTGAGAATTCAATAGGGTGGGTTTTTATCAAGTACGTGGAACCTCTTGAATCAATGAAGCAGTATGATTGACCACAAACAATCACAGCAACATTGATCGATTCTATCACAACATTGCACAAAACTCTAGAAAAAGTTACGGGGTGTGTCATTGCATTGCTGGTAAGTAGAATTTCCATTCAAATTACAGTTATGATACATACAAATTTGTGTGTTTATTAAAATTTAATTACTTCAATTTCTATCACAGTATTGGCTATGTGAACATGTGAATATCATTGACTGGGAAGACAGTAACACAACTGAATTCCCAAGATGTGCCAAATGGAACCTGCAAAGCTTGACCAAACAGCTGTAGAAGACACCAATCCACTCTTTTGCACCTCGACAGGTTAGACTTCTATCGCCACTGAAATCTCAGTGAAATTCCAAAATTTCTCTACCACTGGTTTTTTTCCCTGCTTGTGCCTTGCTTGATTTGATCAATTTTCTCTGCAATGCAATATCTTATATGGAATAACTTATGTGCCTTGATTGATTAAGATCAACTTTCTCTGAAATTTCAATTTATGTTACTTCTTTGATTACCACTGGTTTATTTCTACCCTTGTTATGAATTCTCTCTAGAATCCAAATTTCCCTGACCACAATTATGGTGGTGTTTGGGAACTTGGTTCCCAGATTTTTTTCTCATTTTTCCACTAAAAGACAAAGGTTTTGCAAAATCAAAAAAAACAAATCCAAACAAAATATCACATCCATCCCCATAATCATTTCACTTTTTCTCTCACAAACATCACATCCAACCACAGAAAAACCCAACTATCTTCTCAAACACTAAAAAATTTCTATCCAATAATATCCTACAACTAAAAAAACCTACATAAAAACACACTTCCCAAACACTCACATAGTAACATTAACTTATATGTCTTGATTGATTGTCTCTGATATCTAAATTATGTTGTTTGTTTCATAATTTTCTCTGGCCCATAAAATTATTTCTCATTGTGTGTAATTTTCTCTAACCCATAACTTATGTGTCTTGACTGATTGAGATTAATTTTCTCTGAAATTTGAATTTATGTTGCTTCTTTGATTATCACTGGTTTATTTCTACCCTTGTAATGAATTCTCTCTGGAATCCAAATTTCTCTGACCACAATTATAGTAACATTAACTTATATGTCTTGATTGATTTTCTCTGATATCTAAATTATGTTATTTGTTTCATAATTTTCTCTGGCCCATAAAATTATTTCTCATTGTGTGTAATTTTCTCTGGCCCATAACTTATGTGCCTTAACTGATTGAGATTAATTTTCTCTGAAATTTCAATTTATGTTGCTTATTTGATTACCACTGGTTTATTTCTACCCTTGTAATGAATTCTCTCTCGAATCCAAATTTATCTGACCACAATTATAGTAACATCAATTTATATGCCTTAATTGATTCTGATATCTAAATTATGTTGCTTGTTTCATAATTTTATCTGGCCCATAAAATTATTTCTCCTTCTGTGTAATTTTCTCTGGCCCATAACTTATGTGCCTTGACTGATTGAGATCAATTTTCTCTGAAATTTTAATTTATGTTGCTTTTTTGATTACCACTGGTTTGTTTCTAACCTTGTAATGAATTCTCTCTGGAATCTAAATTTCTCT